CCCCCCCCGCCAAGGCATGACGTTCTATGGTATGGAATAGCTTTTTGGTCAGCTTGGGTTAGCTGTCCTAGCTGTGTTCCCTCCCAGCTTGTTATGCACCTGGCCGAGCAGGAGATGCTCAAAAAGTCCTTGAGTAGTCTGAGCACTACTTGGCAACAACTGAAAACATCAGTGTGTTATCAACATTCTTGTAGTACTAAATCCAAAACACAGGACTATGCTAGCTTCTATGAAGAAAATTAACTCTATCCCAGCCGAAACCAGGACAATGTCATAAGACAAGCCAAGGCTGAAAAAGAGTGCATGGTTTAAACAACCTATTCTTAAATATGCATATGAATTTATGTATACAAACTCAAATTCTTCCAAACTGAAGCTAAATTAAAGAAATTATAAGTGACCTGAGACAGACCTCACTCTAAGCAGGAGGGCTGAAGAGAAAATTCTGGTTAACTGGCAACTAAAATGCTGACACCATCTCTGTTAATGTATCTTCAATTTCTTTTTAACTTGACCTTATTACTGATGTATAGAGGGAAGGATGGCTAAAGTAACACAATGTGATGGTGAAGTGGAAGGAAGAATGTAAAGGTGCTTTTTGTCACTTCCAGATCTCCCCAGCCACTTTGTGTGGATATGTGGGCTACGTTTAAAAAAAAAAAAGAAAAAGAAAAAACCAAACAAACAAAACCCCACAACAAATAAAAGGATAGAATATGTAGTAAAAATAGTACAGTGATTAAAAGCAATTTAAAAATGCAATCAACCTCTGACATACATGACATAAATAGTTTTTTTTCCATGCTGTTGGATCATATTTTGGTTACATTGTTAACCAGTCTTGAGATAAACTAGATATATGTAACACAGCTGGGGCTGGCCAAAGTGGCTGCTTCAAGTTATGTCTATGGCCTTATGTCACCTTTGTAGCAGCTGGGGATTGTTATGGACCACAGTAGGCTTGCCCAAACCCTAGAAATACTTAAGACTTGGGAGAACCTTCCTGCTGCAGCATGGACGGGGAATGAATTTCCTCCATACCATGAGTACAGAAGTACAAGCATAATTGTACAGTCAAATATTTTCAACAAAAATTTCAGTGAGGAGAACTGAGGCAGTTAATCTTGTTTTTTTTTTTAACAAATATGTCAGCAGAAATACCTCCCTCATTCTTCAGAATATTGTAATAATTCAGCAAGAAGCTTGCTTGCAGAAATCTTTTTGTGCTGTTTCTATTCATTTTAGAAAGAGGCTTTGAAAGCAATCATGTAGGAAAATAATGGTGGAGAAAAAGGTGTGAGAATGGAAAAAATTAATTTGAATAAATTCAGGGATCTGATATTTTATACAGAACATTATGAAATACTTTACAGGGAACAAGCAAAAGCAAACAAGAACTTGATTTGTGATTTTTCCTGTGAAACGTTGCTATTTGCTTCATCCACTCATATGTTGTGTCTGGGTAGCAAATTAAAAGACCATCAGCTAGCACAGTAACAGAGAATAGTAGAATGTTTGCTGGAACTTGTCCAGCTGTTCATTGACCCCAGAGCATATTTCCAGATTTTGAGGTTAACAATGTTCAGTGTGTCTTTAGTCAAGCCCAAAAGACATACAACATAAAAGACAGTCCATAAAGCTGAACTTCTAAATCTAACATGTGCCTCAGGATGTACTGTGGGAAAGGCCTCACACAACTTGAAGGCAGAACTTAAGAGAGAACAAAGAGGTTCTTTTAATTCCAGTAACAGCAGCAAAGTGATCAGTCCTCATAAAAACTCTCTGTGCTCTTATGCTTGTATAAAACACTGGTAGAAAAGCTGGTAGAAAAGCTGTTGAACTATTTTGCGTGCTATTTAATATTGCATTATTTTGCTTCCTTTTGCTCCGTCTGTATGTTCACCCTCCCATTTGCTTCTCCATGATCCTGCTAGACTTTAAACTCAAATTTTAAAGATGGAAGGGGCCAGTTTGTTATTGGTTTTGGACCATGAATAGCACACAGAAGCCTTGTTCTCAGCTGCTTTTGGAATGAAAATAATAAATTAAAATTATCCTAGTTTTGGCAGGGGTTTAGGGTTTTAGGCAAGTAAAGCTCTGTTTTCAGTGAAAAATTTTACAGATCTTTAGCAGCAGAAGTGGAGCTGTAGTATACCCTTTAGTGCTTTCAGCAAGACATTTTGATTGCTTTTGGACACAATGATAAAAAAGGTCTAGCAAATGCCCACAATACCACAGGACTAAATTATTACACCTACTTCAGAAGTAGCCAGAGTTGTGGTGCACGTGGTTTAAAGTACATCAGAATTATTGGCTCTTAAAATCAGAGCTCAGTTTGGAACTCTTTTAAAAAAAGAGTTATGCTTAAAAAAAAGCATACCCAGAAAGCTCAGCTCCCCAGCACTAATACACTTCCTCCCTTGGGCCACATCACTCGTACACAGCTTGATGAGCACCTTGTCTTCACCCTCTCAAACATCAACCCAGAAGTCCCTCTCCCTGATCCTTAGCTACCCCTCCAGGCCCACGTTGTCTTGAGTTAGACTATCAGCATACCCTTAGACGGAGCATAACAAAACAGAAGGTTGCAATGTGTTTAGGTAAGGAAGGGGGTGAAAATTAGAGTAAATTAGTAGAAAGTTTTGATTACAGACCAGCAAGCAATGTGCAAGGCAGGGTAAGAATTTGCAGCCTCTTTATTGTCAGTTTATTATATAATGTATTTTATTATACAACAGCCTACAGCTCCTAAACACAACTTTAGAATCACAGGCCATTCACTTAGTTGATGTAAACTGGTGTGACACTATTAAAGCCAATGAAGATGTCCAGGTTAGTATGAGTTGAAGGCAGTGGATTACTTGCACAGCTACCACAAGGATCTTTCAGTGTGAAAATACAGAGTATTCTCATCAGTAGTTAGTATAATGTCTTTCTCAACATACTGCTTTTCTATGCTACGGTCGCTGTGATATTACGCACTGTCCAAGAAAGCTATTTTGGTCACCACTGTAGGTCCTTGTAGTTCTCTGTGAAGGTCATTTTTTAGTGGTCTTACAGGCAGGCTTATTAAAAATAAAGTTTATGAGCTGAGAGATAGTGAAATGAAGCAGCTGTTAAAGTGATACTTCAGTTGTCAGCCCAATCTCTAGCCGCCTGCACTATATGGCTGCATACTTGAAAAATTACTGAAATGTTTAACTGGACTTTGACTCAGGGTCCAGCTGCCTTTGTCCCTCTATTTATCAGAGGGTATGATATAATAAAAATGCCTCTTTACAAAGTCAGACCTCCTAAGCCTCTGGAATTGGAGTACAAATTTATTACTGCATAATAATTACTGCAAAATTAACAGCTAGACATGGTTTAAAAGGACAGAAAACAATGAACCCTCAAGAAACCTATAAAAGATTGAAAAGAATGATTAATTTGAAGAGTAACTACACCATCATCCTTTTTCATTATTTTTTAAGATGTTGGATTCATGGCCAGGTATTACTAATGATGCCATTAACACATTTTATGGTAGTGGGGACTATAAGATCCCAAATTAGGAAGCCTTAGATAGAAGTGAGGAAAGATAGTTTGAAATAAAAAAATGTCCTGGAATTTCTTATAACATGCAAACCACTTTGCTTTGCACCTCCACAACTCAACACTAATATTTTGTAAAATATTTTTCACAATGCTCTTAAGATGCAGAAGAGGAAGGAATATTCACATCACCTGCAATAATGACTTGAATTACACAACTGTATTAGAAACCTAAAAGCTCTTAAGAGTGTTAGTTCCTCTAGAGAACAACCCAGAGCACCTGAAATCTTACCTTGGAAACTCTCAATTACTTTACCTGGCCTCTGTGGCTTCTAGTTTTGAGGCTGGAATTGATAGTAGCCCCTCAATAAATTTTAATTAATGATTTTGCATTGAACTTACTTTTATAGTTACCAGCATTGGGGTCCAGAAAGGTTGGAAC